AGTGGGCACCTGTAATCCCAGCTGCTCCAGAGGCTAGTGGCCAAAGAATCACTTGAACCCAGAGGTGGAGGTTGCAGTGAGTTGAGATCGCACCATTGCACTCCAGCATGAGCAACAAGAGCAGAACTCCATCTCAGAAAAAAATAGTTCTAAACATATTAGTATGAATTTTATACATATTTGTCTAATATTTCACTTTTTCAAGGCATTACATTATGTTAATTTAATATTTAGTGTTTAGGTTTTATGCATATCATCATCATTTTTTTGCTTATTAGAACAGATACCAACTTGATATTAATTTTCATTTTTACGTTTTAAAAGGGCATAGTCTTACCTGAGCATTGAATAACTTTAACAAAACTTTAAATTGGGTCTGTAGATTTACTTGTCCACAATACATTGAAAAGAATGTGTGACTTATACAAAATAAAGGAGATATGGTATTACAAAGTGCATTCTAAGTATACTATTAATCAAAGTTTAGCATTAGAAGTGTTTTTATATACCACATAGTCCAACCACCTATTTATGGCTGATGCATGTGCATTTGGTGGCTTTTCATGAAAGATATTTCTTCTAACTGATATTGTGGAAATGGTGAACAAGATCAAAGTTAGAATATTGTCTCCTACCCTTAAAGATGTATGCCCCTGAGAACTTGGCTTCTCCAAGCTGAGTATTTCCTCTTCTGTAAAATGGGGATGTTACCATTACCAAAGAGTGATTGAGAGGATTAGAGCGCCCATTTTACTTTTAGATGTCTCTGACTTGAGGTTATATATATATTGAATGAAAATCTGTCTCTCTATAGTTCTAATCTATTCAGGATAGTTCTGGATCCTGGAACCACAATAGGAAATTGACAATTACCTTAAAACTAAGTTTCACGCTGTATAATTTTTGGTGTTTATGCAGCAACCTGGCCTTTAACAAGTCAATATTAGCAAATGTCTTATTTTCCCCAAAGATAATGATTAAATAACTACAATATGCCAGGTAAGGCCATCTGGGAGTCTCCTGCATAAATTTGATCATCAGAACAATTCCATAAGTCCCAGGAATGGGTCTGCTTTGGTATCCCTGCTGTGCTCGGGCATGGGCTGGGAGGTGCCTGTGGGAAGTGTGGACTCCAAGCAAATTCAGCAATGGATTTCAGAGCTCAGCAGTTTGAGCCCTTGGTCAGTTATACTCCCTGTAGTTGTAGGTCTTTGAGGCACATACTTAAGAGCACCCCATTATATTTGTCTGCCTTAGTTATAGGTAAAAATAAAATTGCTAAAGGTTCTAGTGTACTATTTGCTTTATAGAGTGAAAGGTAAATGTAAATTTTACTGTGAGGTGATGGTAGCTAAAAGAAGCTACTATTTATGCTTCTCTCTTACTCCCACGCCGAGTCCCCTCCTTCACAACCACCCATACTTCCCTCAAAGTAAGACAAGAAAGTGAGCATGACAACATTCCCAGACAAGCTCCATATGATCTGCCTTTGCAGTGTGTTTTGGTTTTGCCCCTCTTCCTGGTTAATTTTCACTACACCATTAACCAAATTATACTTTTCAATGTTTATTGATTTTTCTTTCATCTTTGACTTCCTCGGTTAGAAAAAAGGTTGGCTATTAATGTCTCTATAACAAAGAAGTGTGAACATGGTAAGTTAATTCAGTAATTTTGTTAAAGTTCTGACATCAAAGCTTATTGTCCTAGTGTTTTTCTCCATGATTTTCAGCATATGATGGTATAAGCCATTTCCTTAGATTCCACTCATGTATCTGTATTACCCTTGTTTAGAGATTTTAAGGTCCACTACTTATTAAGGAGTACCGTAGAATTTCTTATGTCAACCATGAAAAGAGCTATACACTGTAGCTGTAAATAGTATTTATAGTTACATACATGTAGTTGTTTGTAACATGCCTTTTAGAATCTGTCTGCAGTGACTTTCAAAGGTCACCTTTGGTGGTTATGTAAACATAAAACAATGGATTTGCTTTGATGCAGTGTCTCATGCCTGTCATTTACCAGCAGAAGAAATGTTACTCTTCAGCTTTGCCACTATGCCCTCACATTCTTCAACCTTGAGTTAGTCAGCCACTTATCAGCTGATGTGATTTTACATTTTTGCCTTGATCATTAATCATTCACTTTAAGTTCTTCTTTTGTAGTGTTTACCAGTTGCTTCCAAAACAAACATGCTTTCTGAGCTTGAGGAAGGGAAAAGCAAAAAAGATTGAAAAGAATATAATAGATGGTTTCACAGTTATTTTGGCTTTATTACTAATGCTAACTACCATAAGGTGTAGAACTAAGCTTGAGGTATTAATAAATACTTTATTCAAGGAACTTTTTCTTCAGCCCTAATGAGAATTTATAAACATGATTGGATGGTACTGTTAAGGTAAAGGGAGAAACTCTCCTAAGAGAGAAAATCGTTTGCTGTTTTTCTGAAAATTTGAGTATTCCTTTTAGATTTACTGTTGTTCCTAAAAGTCTCTTTTTTTTGCAGGACATATATTTATTTTGTGAAATATATTAATAAAATTACATATGTCGACTGACATAATTTTTTACTTCTATTCTGTAGATAATCAACCAAGTGTAAACATGAGTAATATATTTCACCTATTACATTGTATATTCCTAGCCCTTTGAATAAGCACCTTTGCAAAATATATTTCATTTTTGTTTTGATTAAAATTTGCTTCATGAGTTAGAAGAGATCATGAACCCTGGGTAATGCACTTTGGTTGTAACTAAAATTCTTAATTCAATTAATTATGAGTTACACCAGACATGGAACTTTATGACACCCAGAGTATTCTATTAAAATAGCAGTATTGTAATAGCTGCTGGCCCTTTCTAAAAAGTATGGCCAGTTAAATCACCTAAATAATGGTCTCCGAAATTACAGAATTAAAAATATCATATTATTTCCCACCTGATAATTGGAGGACAGATTAGACATTAACCTAGCCTTCCAAAGGCCTAGAGATTTCTTTTCTTTTTCCTTCCCATCCCTTTTTATTTGTGTTAGTTTTATTTTCAGCAGAACAGATCAAGGAATTTTTCTTAGTTTATGAACCTTTCTAGAAACTTAAATACAGGTTATACTTTTGCTATTGGTTTTATATTAAATAAGTTATGAAAAAGTTGCCTTTTAATATAAGTAAAAATCTTTGTAGAACTTATCTGTGATTTACACATGCATGCTTCTGAAGGTCAGGTATTCTAACTTTTGTACAAGGTAAAAGTTACTTGAAAGATGAAAAGGCATGCCAAAACAAATAGAAAACATTCTATTTCATTTTAAACTACCTTTCTTTTTTAAAAAATCTTTATTTTGTATACATGGTTATATAATTGTCAAATTATTTTTTATTGTTTTACATATCAGCCTACAAACATATAATTCTTAAGGTTTGCTTCTGTTTTTAAAAAAAAATGTCACTCCTTAAGACAAATGAAATTTTATGCCCTATTTTTGCAGAACAAAATACTGTAAAATAAAATTAATTGTAGTAGTCTAATATTGTAGAGAAAAATTAGGGAATTTCTAAACTCATGTTGTTAAAATAAATTTTTAGTTGAAGAATAAAACAGAAAAGAGAAAGAAAATTTCCTTAACTAATGATTCTCAAATATTATTTGTATTATTTTATTTCAAATAAGAATCAAAATGTGGGAGATCTCACTTGTTAGGTATGAAGCAAGAAATATAATTATACAGACAAAACTGGATTATAGCAAATAATACCAAATTTGTCACCATACCTATGCATGAAATAAATTCAGTTATATAATTTTAGTGTTAGTTACTGAATCAGAAAGTTAAAGTAAGATGTTATGTTTGTAAAAGTATGTATGACATAGTTTTTAATTATTGTGGTATACTAATAGCAGGAATTTTGTGAAGTGTATCTTAATATTGATGTTAGATTCAAATGAATTTAATTATTGTTAAAGGAGTTACTTTGCATGTAAAATTCACAAGTTTTTGTGTAATTTATACTAAATTGGGACAATTATATGTACATTCTGTGTACAAATTAATATTTTAATTAACTATTATGGCATGCCATAATTACAACATAGAGTTAGTGGTGATGTGAATGAATTTAACTAAATAATCTGTTTATATCTAAAGGAGTCTAAATAGAACCTCAGAGCTTTAAGAGAAGAATTAATAGTAGTTATTAATAGTATTATTCAAACGCTGTATGTATTAGGTATTTTACAAATGTTAACTAGCTTGATTTAATAGTCAAAATTTAGGGGTAAATACTAGTATAACCTTTTTTTCAAATAAAAAAATTGGATGAAGAAGTGAAAAACTTGTTTCAAGGTTCATAGTCAAAGAACATATAAGAACTGATAGTCAAATGTTGGTTATATTTTTATAATATTTCTGATGTATTGTTAAACCTTAGATGTCTCACTGAATTGTTGCTTCAATTTTTAATTAAGACATTTAATATATAATTTTAATGTATTTCTGTAAAAATTTCAAAATATTACTTTATAAACAGACACACACATGTGCACACACACACTCACATTCACATATATTTTTGTACCAAAATGGAGAGAGACATCACTCAAAAGTTAAAAACCAGTTATTGGTTTGAAATCCTGAAGATGCTGGACTGAAATGAGTCTTTCTGATGTTTTTGCAGGAAATCCTCTTCACCTTGAGAAATTTTACTTTGGACAGAGAATATAAAGGCAGACACAAATAAAGGCAAGAGGCCATAATTATAATTATAATCACCAGTATAACTAGTGGTGATGTGAACAAATTTAACGAAATAATCTGTTCATATCTAAAGGGGCCTTTAAATAAACTTTGCAGATTTAAGAGAAGGTAAAATAGCATTTTCAGCCAGTGCAAGAGAAAGCTACATGTTATTGAGTCTTTCAGATATGGAGTTGGATATATCTTTCATTTTTCTAAGCATGCATCAGAATATTCACGTGGTTATTGTATTCTTTGATTCTTCTAGGAGTCAATCTTAAGATGGGATGCTTTCCTGTGAAAACTGACACTAAGTAATCTTGGGAACCAAAGACTCTAGGACTCTTGGTGCCAACAGTTACTCTGTGAGTATTCTTGGTGTGTAATAATGTTTCCTTACATCTAGTTATTGTAAGTCATGCTATTTATGCAACTGGTGAATCTTAGTGTGAATGCTGATATTGGCATGACCACTGTTTTTTGTTTGTTTGTTTGTTTTTTTGAGACAGAGTCTCGCCCTGTCTAAGCGATTCTACTGCCTTAGCCTTCTGAGTAGCTGGGATTACAGGTGCACGCCACCATGCCCAGCTAATTTTTTGTATTTTTTAGTAGAGATGAGGTTTCACCATGTTGGCCAGGCTGGTCTTGAACTGACCTTGTGATCTGCCTCGTCGGCCTCCCAAAGTGTTGGAAATACAGGCATGAGCCATTCATTTTCTAAAACAGGACATATCTTAAAGTTGGTACTATTAGCTTCTAGTGTTTCTGTGATTCAGTATGCTGTGTGATCTTGATCGAGAGACTAAGCCTCAGTTTCTCTGTATATAAAAGTAAGCTAAATATAAACTTTCTTCCTTAAAATGGTTATAAAAGTAGTAAATGTTAAACTTTTAATAATAATAGAATTATATTCTGTTTTTATTACTAACATGAATTCTGGTTTTAAAATAAGAAAGCTAGAAGTATATACTTTTAGTTATTAACCTTTATTATTGGCACTTTTAAAAAAACCTACATTTTGAACAAAAATGATCATATTGGCATTTATTTGTGTTCATATTTTGTTTGCATAGGGCTTTATCATTCACAAAGTTTCCACACTCATGACTCAATCTGATTTAATCCTTCATACAATCTTGGTGTACAGCAGGTCTGGGATTATAATTCCCACTGTACAGATGAGAAAACTGATGCTCAGCATTGTGACTTGCTGAAGACTGCATAAATTACAAGGGAGATAATTTGAAATCCAATGTTCTTATAACCAGTCTATACTCTTTTCTCTAGACTGTTCTTGTAACTAGTCTATATACTTTCAAATAAATGTACCCAACTATATTCATTTGGTCTAATTTGTATGTTTGCATTTGGATTGCTAATATTTTAACTAGTTTTTAAGAGTAGTATGATAAATTTACAAAATTTGTATTCTGTCTTCTACCTCTTTTGTATCATGTGCTCTGTCTTCTACCTCAAGTTCATGAACAAATCTTGGTATATCTATATAGTAGGCAGAATAATGGACCCCACATCTTAATCTCTGTCATTTATGAATATGTTATATTATATGGTAAGGGGAGAATTACGGTTGCAGATGGAATTATGGTTGCTGATCAGGTGACTTTGAAATTATCCTTGATTATGTGCATGGGCACTAGGATCTTTATAAATGAAAGAGAGAAGGCAGAATGAAATATACTCAGTCCAGCTGTAGGAATGCAGCCACAAGCCAAGGAATGTCAGTGGTGGCTTTCAGAGGATGGAAAAGCAAAAAAACAGATTCTTTCCTAAGTCATCCACTCATACCTTGATTTTAGTCCACTGAGACCCATTTCAGACTTCTGACCTCTGAAATTGTGAGATAATAAACTTATGTTGGTTTAAGCCATTATATTTGTGGTTGTTTGTTATAGTAGCAGTAGAAAACAAATACAGGTCAACACTGTGAAATTATGGAGAGCCTCAGAGTAGAAACAGTGGTTCCTGCCGAGAGGTTATTAGGTCAGTCATAGAGCTATTTGCTGCTTTGATTGAATATTTTGTTCTGTACTAAGAGTGTGATCATAGAGCTAGTTTGTAATATGTGATACGGTTCCTTTTGGATACATAGTTTACTAATGGAACCAGCTTGCCCCTGCCTGTTTTTATTCTGCAGAATATAGATCTTGGAGTGTTTGGGTTCAAATGCTGGCTCTGTTTTAATTATAATCTGTTCGAGCATCAGTTTTTTTCATCTGTAAAATGAGGACAAGAAAAATTATTTTTAGGGCTGTTGTGAAAATTATTAATTTATGTTAAATGCTTAGAATAATATTAATACTCAGCATATTATAGACTAATTAAATTGCAGCTATTATTATTACTAAATTATTCCTCAAACACTATATTTTCTAGATTCATTCTCTTTATTCAGATATGGATAGGGAAGTATCCAAAACTTTGGGATGAGTGCCTTTGTGGCAGAGGCATTTTAATATAATTAAATTATATGCATTTTGTGATTTGTTATTTTACTTAATTTTAGAAACCTCTTGTGCTTTGAAAACCTCTTCTTTGTCCGATTCATCATCATAAATATGTAGATGAAGCAAATTTGCATATTCTATAATAATTCATTTCATTGAATTTACTTATTCTGTCTTAGCTGTTTTATATTATGAGCCTTTAGGTTTGTTTTGATGTCACTACTTAAGCATGAGAATATTTTGGTAGTAGGGAAAGCATGCAGCACCCTGTAATAAGGATCCTAGATTAAAAATACTTCACAAGTGAGGAAAACCTAGTCTGAAAGGAGTTTTCAAAGACATTGTTAAGAGAGGAGTCCCTCAAGTGGATAAATAGAAACGACGACTTCTGTCAATGCCCCATTCTCTGTGTTTGACAGGGGTGGCGGGTCTGCTTTAGGGCTGCTCGGAGCATGTATTTAATTAGCCTTTTAGGCCTTCGCCGCAGTGGCTATATTCCAAAGGACAATGCATTAATTAATTCAACCAACATGTGTTACATACCTCCTAATGCCAATAAATAAATGATATCTGTTCAAGATGCTCCCAGCATAGTGGAGAAGAACCAGTGATCCCTGAGGTAGCATAGATTCTAGCAGTAAAGTTAGGCAGGGAGGTGAGATCTATTTACTCTTTCTAGCTACCCACACAAAGACCAGTAGCAGCGTGCCATGATTTCTTATGTAGTTTTAAAATGTGCATTGCTCTTACAAAACAGTTTGTCTGTTCCTGTCTTTTAACATCCTAGGTTTTCTCTAGTACTAGGAAAAAGAAAACAAAATACACTTCTTACACAGACACCTGAAATACAAGGGATATCCCTTTAAATTGGATACTTTATAATCACAGGCCTGTTGAGTATGTGATTAAGAAACAGACACCAATAATCATATGATGTGTTTTAGTAAAGTAATAGTTCTCTTTTTCCTCAAATTCATGTAATATCTTTGTGGCGCTTTGCAGTCAATTTCTTCGATTTTCATGTTACGGTCTTACTTCTCCCACACTTTGCTAATTGGCATCTCATTTACCTGGGTACAGCTAAAAATCCAGTAAATCAGAAGGGGCTTTCCCCAAGGCAATTAACTTCTGGAAATGAGTGGATCTTTGGGTAGCCTTGGAGAACTGTTCGAACACGGAAGGTACAAAAGATATCACTCTTTCTTGACTCTGTTTTAACTTGAATCCAGCAGTTAATAGAAGGGTAGCAGAGAAAAAGAGAAACTATTTGACCAAAAAAAAAAAATACTCCAGTGAGTTAGTGAAAAGTTTCAAGTGAATTATGTACCAAATACCTTGCCATGCCTTCTTTGCCTGTCTGTGTCTTTCTGTATTAAACCCACATCAAGAAATCAGTAGAGGTAAGCTGAGCATGCCCAGCTGTTAATATATTCTCCCTAATATTCCACTAAGACACTCACTGTGTCCTCATTTCTTTTACATAGATTGTGGATTGTGTGGGTTGATATAAATGCTAGCAATCAAATAATTAGACTTTTTCTATCATGCTGAGTTGGCCAGATTTACAGATTTTGGCAGTATCTTAAACCTAGGAAAATTTTTAAATTTTTGGTCTTCTCCATTCATAATAACATGGTTCACAAATAATGAATTGAGGGTTCTTGATATGAAATAGTAATATTTGCTAATGTGTCTATCAAATATGAGTAAAAAATGAGTGTAATGGTTTTAGATACAGGGGAATGCTTCTATGATGCTGTCATGATAATTAAACTCCTAACATTATTTAACAGCTTTATGATGTGACAGCAGATGCCTAGAGTTAGTAGTTTTATTATTTTAGATCTTACCTTTAGCATATGTGAAGGTAGGTGGTGATCAATTAAATTATACAAGGTTCTATAATATATGACATTGCTAATACTACTTTATAACTCTATTTTAGCTTTGACAATTCTGGTTTTAACACACACACACACACACACACACACACACACTCCCACCATGGGAAACTGAATTCTTAAAAATTTTTCTTAATGTATTTAGCAGGTACAAGTGCATATTTCCTACATGCATAAATTGTGCAGTGGTAAAATCTGGGCTTTTAGTGTGTCCATGACTCAAGTAGTGAACACTGTATCCAATAGGTAATTTCTCAACCATTATCATCCTCCTAGCTTCCCACCTTTTGTAGGCTCCAATGTCTATTATTCCAGCAAGTGACTATTAGAGGAAAGAGAAGCCGACTTGTTTTCCTGGCATCCCTACTGTACATAATATAATGGGTTTTGTAGCTAGCTAGTCTCTAAATCTTTAGTTAATTAAACACAAGGAAAAAATATATTTGGCTAGTCCCTTTGACTCATCTATTTAATTCTTAAAACTGATGCTGACCTCAAGAATGCAGCTTGGATATATGGTCAAATGAGGTTTCTCATTTGAACTTATCATCCAAACTTAGGCTTTGCCTTGTATGGGAAGAACCTGCCCTAATAAAATTATTACACAGTGTAGACCAGATCAGATGTGTCTCCTCTGTAGGAAGGCATTTCTGGAAAAGGGAGAGCCCAGAATATTGCTCCGTCAAGCTTGCTTAGTTTTTTTTTTTTGAAAATTCAGCAACCAGATTGGAATAGTTTGAGGTGTTATTTTAACAGTAATGTCTGCATCAGGCAATATTAAGCCAGTATGTAGGTGAGAAGCCTGGGGGTCAGGGAGGTTAGATCATTTGTTGAAGATGAGAAGAGTAAAGTATAGGTCTGACCCAACTCTTCTAACACTAAACCATGGTGCGGTGTTGCTGTTGTTGTTTTGTTTTGTTGGTTTTGCTGCTGCTTCTTCTTTTTTAAAGAATCCTTTAAATAATTTTTAATAGAATTTTTTAGATTTTAAAAAAATTT